AGTGAATTACACATTAATTAAAGTTGTATTACACAAATGCTAACAAGTGAACTAAAACTGAATTGAAGTTGTATTACACAGATGCTAACAAGTGAATTAAACCTGAATTAAATTATATTACACAAATGTTAACAACTGAATTAAACCTGGATTATAGCTGTATTACACGTATGCCAACAAGTGAACTAAAACTGAATTGAAGGTGTATTACACAAATGCTAACAAGTGAATTAAACCTGAATTGAAGTTGTATTACACGGATGCTAACAAGTGAATTAAAACTAAATTGAAGTTATATTACACAGATGCTAACAAGTGAATTAAACTTGAATTAAAGTTGTATTACACAGATGTTAACAAGTGAATTAAATCGGAATTAAAGTTGTATTACACGGATGCTAACAAGTGAACTAAAACTTAATTGAAGTTGTATTATACAAATGCTAACAAGTGAATTAAACATGAATTAAAGTTGTATTACACAAACGCTAACAAGTGAATCAAACTTGAATTAAAATTGTATTACACAGATGCTAATAAGTGAACTAAAACTAAATTGAAGTTGTATTACACAGATGCTAACAAGTGAATTAAACTTGAATTAAAGTTGTATTACACAGATGCTAACAAGTGAATTAAATCGGAATTAAAGTTGTATTACACGGATGCTAACAAGTGAACTAAAACTGAATTGAAGTTGTATTACACAAATGTTAACAAGTGAATTAAACATGAATTAAAACTGTATTACACAAATGCTAACAAGTGAACTAAAACTGAATTGAAGTTGTATTACACAAATGCTAACAAGTGAATTAAACCTGAATTAAAGTTGTATTACACAGATGCTAAAAAGAGATCATACTTATTAGAGAAGAGAACTGAATACCAGACACTCACAGGAACTTGAATCAAATGAAATCTCAACATAAATCATCAAACAAAAAGGCACACAAGTAACGTAAACATAAATCAAACGAAATCTCAACATAAATCCACACAAATTGCAAGCTCACATTAAAGGATCATTTAAGTGCAAAGGAAACCAACAAAAATCGCAGATTGCAGTGCAAGTAATCTAAACTAACAGAGCTTACTCAACACTAACCTTTAAATTACAATGGCGAGAGAAAATTGAAGTCGCCGGAAAAAAATTGGAATCGCGAGAGAGAAAAAAAATTGCAATCGCGGGCGTGGGAAAATTTTAGGGCGAGAGAAAAAATATGAAGTTGAATATTCAATTAAATTGACATTTATCGTTAAAAAAATAATACTGACAAATATGGTAATTATTTTTAAAAAAGTAGACACACAAGTTATTTTTCCTATTTTTTTTTCTAATTTTCTAATTTACACCCCGATAGGAGATAATACCCAATAACCATAACTTTTCAGTTTTCAGTTCGATTCTTTTAAGTTCTTAGGATTAGAACTAGGGTTCCGACTTCCGCGGTGGAAAATTTTGAATCACCTCCGGCGAGGCGGCGGCGACTGCTCCACGCCTCCACCTAGACCACCTCCGTCCCCCACTACTCGGCTACTCCAGTCAGTCAGTCACTCAGACTCATGCGTACTCGTAAGGCAGTGACTCTCGTCTCTCAGTCTCTCACTCAGGCGTCAAGCGAGGTCCGAGGACACAAGTCACCAGGTAATTATTGAGTGTTGCAATTATGGTGAGCAAATTGACAAGTAAAGCACAAATCTTTAGTTGTTTCTTTGAATGTTGATGAACCTAGAAGTAGAAATCTTGAAGGAAAGATTGAAATCGTTATAATTGGATGATGTATCTAGATTGATATTTCATTAGAACTATTAGTGTTATAGCTATAACAATGGGAATGAGTCCTACTTTAAGACTAATACCATTATACCATTTTATGAAATCGACCTTAGAGTCTAACACCGAAAATGAAAATGGTAGTAAAACATCCCTTTGACATGGATTCTCTTAAACAAAAATGAAGTAGCAACTAACTCCAAAATACAATAACCAGAGATTTGATTCGAGTACAAAATGATTTTCTTTAACATAGGTCAATTATAAACATTGATTACTTTTAATGCTGATCACAAGCAATCAACAGAACAAGTTCAATCCAGGTTAAGTTTCTCCCTAAAAGTCAAAATATGAAGTAATTAATGTAATAGTATTCCTGATTTTACTCTAATCATCTATAGTTAAATCACAAAATAGGAAGAATTTTTGGGGAAAATAGAAAAGAACTAACCTTGTTTTTGAATATGGTACTGCAATTTAGTATAGGACATTCTGACTATTGATTTTAAATTTGATAGTTGATACTACTTAGCCTATTGTTTGTACTTTGTAGTTCTTTCTCTAATAAAACTTAGTGTTTATATCTTTTTGCAGTTTTTGGTGAATGTACCATGACTGAAAATATCATAATTGATAAGGTTATTGAGGCTTCTAATTAAAATGCAATAGATCAAAGTCAAACTATTGAGTCTAAAGTCGTGCATGAGATCATTTCACTCGTAAAACTGATATTGATGGAAGTGAAAAGGCTGTTTGTAACTATTGTAAGAAAGAGTATTTTGCTGACACAAAAGAACATGGTACAACGTCAATGCTTACTCATATAAATAAATGCACAAAGATGCCTTATAATATTGATATTAAACAATCAAGATTAGCATTTCAACCAATGATAGGGGTAATAATGGTGATTTTGTTGTTGTTCCATGGAAATTTGATCAGGAAGAGTGTAGAAAGGCCTTGTGTCGTATCGTAATTATTGATGAGCTTCCTTTTAGATTTGATGAAAAAGAAGATTTTAAACAATTTATGAAAGTAGCACAACCTTGTTTCCACATTCCTTCCCGTACCACTGTGACTCGTGACTGTTTTGATCTTTTTGATGAAGAAAAACGTAAGTTGATGGCTGCTTTTAAGGAAACACAACAAAGGGTGTCTTTAACCACTGATACTTGGACTTCCATACAAAGAATCAATTATATGGTCATTACTGCTCATTGGATTGATAAAAATTAGACTTTGCATAAAAAATTATCAACTTTTGTCCAATCACCAGTCATAGAGGTGAAGATCTTGGAAAGTCTATTAGTAAGTGCTTACATGAGTGGGGATTGCATAGAATTTTCACTATAACAGTTGATAATACTGGTTCAAATTGTGTGGCAATAACTCAGTTGTCTAAGTAATTAACTAAATGGGGAACCAACTTAATGGGTGGTAGTCACCTTCATATAAGGTGTATGGCTCATATTGTAAATCTTATTGTTCAAGATGGTACAAAAGAAGCAAATGTGTCTATTGAACGAGTTAGGCAAGCAGTGAGATACATCAGGCAATCTCCTGCTAGGTGAAAAAAATTTCAAGAATGTTGTGAAGATGAAAATCTTGCTAAAAAGTCTTTATGCTTGGATGTTCCTACAAGGTGGAATTCCACCTACATGATGTTGAGCAGGGTTATTGAATATGACGGGGCAATTGTAGAGTACGCCGATCGTGATATTGGCTTGGCACTATATCTTAAGTTTGTTGATAAAAATTTTACAGGTACACTTTTGAGTAGTGATTCAGAGGGCGTAAAGAGAATTACAAAATTTCTTGAAATGTTTTTTAATCTTATTTTGAAGATATCTGGTTCACGATATGTTACATCAAATTTTTATTTTCTTGAAATTTGTCAAGTTGGTTTACTTGAATCAGTTGATATCAAATGAAGATCAAGTTTTGGCTAAAATGACAGAAAATATGAAGGAGAAATTTGACAAATATTGGGGTGATGCTGAAAAAATGAATAAGATGATTTTCATACCATGTGTTTTGGATCCTCGTCACAAATTTAGTACTCTTGGCTTTGCACTTGAGAAGATATTTGGAGAAAAAAAGGTTGCTATAGAAAATGGTGTGCAAACGTACATGGAAGCTTTGTTTAGTGAGTATACAAACCCCATTTCAAATGATAAAAGTGACCAATTTTCTTCAACTGGTATGGATACTTCTATTTCAAGTTCTGTAGGAGAATTTGGAATTTTTTTTGAGGAATTACATAAACATAAATCTGAAAAGGGAGGTGCAAGTTCAAAGTCAGAATTAGTTAAATATCTTGATGAAGACACTGAAATTGAAAAATCAGATTTTGATGTATTGCTTTGGTGGAAAGTTAATTCACCTAGATTTTCATTTCTTTCTGAGATGGCTCAAGATGTGTTGGCTATTCCTGTTTCAAGTGTGGCATCTTAATGTGATTTTAGTACTAGAGGGCGCATACTTGATTCATTTAGGTGTTCGTTAACTCCTATATTGGTACAAGCCCTAGTGTGCCTTCAAGATTGGCTTCGGAGTGAGCCACAACCCATAAGTATTGAGGAAGATTTAGATTTTCTTGAGCAACTTGAAGAAGGTAAGAAAAGAATCTCATTGATGTTAAATTGTGAATTGTTTATTTAATACTTTTATTGTTTAAGTCTTGAGCCTTGACTTGTTATCGTATTTCTCTTTAGATTTTGCTAAACTTGGAAAGAACTTTGCATTGATAACATTTAAAATTGGAGGAAGGAAGGTATATACATGTGTTATCTTGTCTTTGTGTCTGATTTATTATTGATCTAATACTTTCTTTGTTTCTTTGCTAATCAGATTTCATCATGCATCAATCACTTGTTTGGAATCACTATGAAAAACTTGAAGAAAATGAAGATGCATCGTGGAAGGTAAAATGTATTCATTGTGGCTGTGTTTATTACCATTCACGCAATACTGAGACTGCCTCCTTAAGAAGGCATGTTCAGGGTTGTGTGGAAAACAGGAACCAAAAGCGTCAACTTTTGAGGATTGATGACTAGTTATTATGTTGTTTACTTGAACATAAACTATTAGAACTATGTTTAGACTCAATTTTTAGGTTGTGTTACTGTTGTGTGGTGTCTGCTATTTTAAATTTGTGTCTGTGACTCTGTGTGGAGTGTGGACTGTGGCAGCCTGCAGGCTGGAATTGTTGCAAAGTTTATATATGTATTGTACAGTTGTAGTATTTTTAACTGTTAAGGTGAAACTTGATGAGTTGATGTTGTTGTTGGCTTGTTGCAATGAGTGGAATGTGGATGTTGTTGTTGCAATTTTGCATTTCCTTTTGGTGAAACTTGAAAGTGCAGTGACTGCACTAAATTGTTTTCACTTTCTGCCTGCAAATTGTAGTGCAAACTGCAAAGTGCAAATTGTAAATTGCAATTTGTAATTCTGTAGACTTAATTTGCAAAGTGCGTGGGATCATCTTCAAATTTTCATGTGATTTTTATTTTAAAAAAGTATATGATATATTAATGGTTAACCCGATAATCGAACCGATAAGAGTCGATAATCAATAAATCGATAACCGATAAACCAATAACTTAATGGTTCTTTAATGGTTTAGCTAGTCTACAAACCGATAACCAATAAGCAAAACCGATAATGTTCAAAACCGAACCGAACCGACCAATATGCAGCCTCAATGACGCCTACGTGGCTCCATGTATATATATTTTTAATTGTAATTAAAATTTTACTTTCTATTTAGTATTCTATCCAACCATTTAGTAAAATCTATTAACCCGATTTAAGTACTTATTAGCCCTAATTTCTAATGAAGGGCAAATATGTATCCAAAGTTGGATGGTAAGGGCAAATATATCAAAAAAAAATATATGACGAAAGATAAATATAACCCTTTTCTAAGAGTTCAAGAGTAAACATGACACTTTTTCCATTTTATTAATATTAAAATGTCAGACCAAACACTTTGCCATTCCCGAAATGAAATGTTACACATTCTACACAAACTTTGAGACCGGTGGTAAAATTTTGTCATTTTGATTTGTTCTAATACTTTCTTTACTTTAAACATAAGACACAAAAAAGATGAACACCTCTTTATTAGTTTATTTTTAAAATAAAAAGATAATTTATTATTTTATATTTATTTTATTCTTATTATTTGATATTATTTATTTTCTCATTTTTACGTGATTTATGATTAATAGAGGTGACACAGTAAAATTATCATTTTATTTATTGTTTTTTAGAATTATGTTAAGTCAAATATAAATAAGTAAATATGTACAAAGAGAGTAGAACCAATAGAAAATAGTAATTTCACTATGAAAAAGAAAGGGAGTTAGGAAGATGTTTAACAAAGTTAGTGCATATAAATTCAAAGTGTATTTTATGCATGTTAAATTAATCAATTTTGGTACATATTAGTGTGGAGAATTGCCTATTGTAAGGGCATTTTTGTTATGCTTTTCTATGTCCTCTTGATTCCATAAGCGAAAAGGGTCTGAAAAATAATTTACATTTTGATTGAAATTATTGTTATGAGATTAAATTTTATGGAGGACTTTTTACCTCCTACATTATTTAATAGTGTATTTTAAAGGTATATATGTGCTCACGTGGACACATTACTATTTATAATTATCCGATATTTATGATGTCCACGTGAGGACATATATACCTTTATAATACACTATCAAATAGAGTAGGATGTAGGGTTAAAATGTTCTTTACAAAGTTTGATATCGTTATAACAATTTCAATAAATATATTTCACACCTTTTTTCGTATTTTTCTTTTAACTTCTATGATATATCTTACTCGAGCGGAGAATTTTTCGAAAACAATTGTTCTACCTTCCAGAGATTAAGGTTGTGGTTGTTGATTATTTTTACTATTGAGTTATTACAAATTGATAGAGACACATGCTGCCCTCTCTCCATACTGTCAAAATTTTCCTTCTTCTGAAAGACATGGCAGCAACATCTTTTCTCTTCAGCATTGCAAACTCCATCTTAGGTAAATTAGGATGTCATGCTGTTTAAGAGTTTTACTTGATTTGGGGTGTTAAAAATGAGCTCAAAAAACTCAACAAAACCTTAATCACCATTAGAGATGTACAGTTGGATGCTGAGGATCAAGAATCCAAGAATCATGAGTTAACCAATTGGCTAAAAGAACTCAAAGATGTTCTTTATGATGTTGATGATTTTCTTGATGAAATTCAGACTCATGTACAGCAGAGTCAAAGGTTTGTTTTTTATTCTCACCCTTTAAATTTCTACTTTTTAGATATAGAATGGGTTATAAGTTGAAAGAAATAAGGGAGAGATTAGATAGTATTGCAGCTGATTTAGACAAGATAGGGGATTTTGAAGAAAAGATTGAACTTGTTGAGTGGGACCTCACTACTCCATACTGCAGTATTGCAATTTTACAATGTACACCTACTTGTGTATCTGTACATTACTCTGGTGTTGTGGGAAGGGACGTTGATAGAGATACCTTGATCGAAGCACTTTTAAAATCAGGAAATGAAGCAACCCTTTTTGTATATCCCATAGTTGGAGTTGGAGGCACAGGAAAAACTACTCTTGCCAAATTGGTGTATAATGATCCAAGGATAGTTAGTCAGTTTCAGCTGCGTATATGGGTCTCGTGCGTCTCGTGTGTTTAAAGTAAAGGAAGTATTAGAACAAATTGTGAATTCAGTTAGAGAAAATTTATGTGAGAAACTTGATATGAATGAACTGAAGAATCTAGTTCATGAGACTTTGTATGGAAAGAATTATTTGATTGTGTTAGATGATGTGTGGAATGAGGACACAGTGTAGTGGGATGAACTGCAGAAGTTGTTGATGGTGGGTGCTTGTGGAAGTAAGATTCTTGTAACTACTCGGAAAACGGAAGTAGCTTCGATAATGGGGACGGCTCCTGCATACTGTTTGAACGGTTTGTCACATGAAGATAGTCTGACTTTGTTCTTAAGGCATTTGAACAAGGTCAGGAAGTGCTCCATCCAAATCTCGTTTGGATTGCGCCAATGATAGTGCGTAAATGTGAGGGAAATCCCTTATTCTTAATAATTGTAGGATCTTCATTGCAGAAGAAAACTGAGAGACGGGAGTGGAATATAGTTAACAGTCACAGCGGGTGGAACTCAAATCAGAACGAAGAAATTTCATCTGCAGTAAGAGTGAGCTATGAACAATTGTCATCTTATCTCAAAGTTTGTCTTGCTTACTGCTCAATATTTCCCAAGGGCTGTGTGATTGAAATAGATAAATTGATACAGCTAGTAGCAGAAGGTCTCATTAGTAAGTCTAATGAATCAGAAGATCTTGAGCACGTTGCCATTCAACATTTCCGAGAGTTATTGTCGAGATCCTTCTTTCAAGACGTTGAAGAATATCGTTCCGTTTATACTTCAATCTGTACAATGCATGACCTTGTACATGATCTTGCACTGTCAGCAGCAGGGGTTGAATTCTGTGCAGTAAATTCTCACATACAAAACATTTCTGATGAGGTCAGACATGTGGTGTTTTCTGAATATGATTTGTCAGGCAAGGAACTGCCAGCATCCCTTCTCAGAAACCAGGCATTAAGGACCATATCCTTCTCCTTTGATGGAGTAGGGGCGATGAGTACGATGTTCGTTGAGAATTGCATAGCAAGATTATGCAACTTAAGGTGCTAGATATCAGTGATTCATGTTTCGATGAGCTGCCTAGCTCTGTTGGCGAATTGATGTATTTAAGAATCTTGATGTAAGTTCCAACGGAAGCATTAAAGAATTACCTGATTCGATTAACAAGTTGCTGAGCTTACAGACACTCCGAATTTCTCATTGTCCACAACTTGAAGGGCTGCCTAAAGATATTGGAAATTTGATCAGCCTAAGACACCTGTATATAACCACCAAGCAAGCATGTTTACCTGATAAAGCAATTGTCTGCTTATCATCTCTTCGTTCTTTGTGCATTCATAACTGCAACAATCTCGTATCTTTGTCTGAAGGTCTGCAACATCTGACTAACCTTCGCACTTTGGCAATCATCGGTTGCCCAAGACTGACCTTTTTCCCAATTGCTATGAAGCACCTTACTGCTTTAGAAAATCTGTTGATTGTTGACTGTAAAGAGCTCACATTGTTGGAGTGGCAAGATATTGAAGGACTTAGGATGCTTCGGTCATTGGTTATCGGAGGCTTACCTGAATTGGAGTCAAAAGATGTTCACTGCCTCGGGAGCCTTCAGATGTTGGTACTTGCTGGTTTACCAGAGGTAGTTACTTCGCCGCGATGGCTTGAAGGTGCTAGTGCTACTCTACAATACCTGAGGGTGGAAAGGTGCCTGAATTTTGCAGCATTGCCAAACTGGCTGGCAAATCTTACTGCACTTGAAAAACTTGAAATTTCCAAGTGCCGTAAATCATTTTCATTGCCCGAGGGAATGAGTTGCCTCACGAACCTGAAGGTACTTAAGATCGACAATTGACTGATCGTGAGTTCAGAATGCCAAGGCAGGACATCTCATATTTCTGAGGCTAAAATCAACTGACTGATCTTGAGTTTCGCTTCTTTCATACCTTGGTTGGTTATATCATGTTTTATTTTTCCATGTATTTTCCAGTTTTTTACTTCTTCTTCCCATCTGCTTGTTTCACAGTCTTGTTTGTGCTACATACTTTGTTTTATGGTAAAATAAGCTATATTTCTGATGCAACTTCAAATATACTAGAACTACAACAACACCCTCAGTCCCAAACAAATTGGGGTTGGCTATATGAATCTCCGCTCATTTCATATCATAAGATTTGGAACCAAGAAAATACATGATTACGCACTGTGTGACTTCAAGAAGGAAATAATGAAGAGATTTTACTACTTTTATTGGATATATCATTCTTGTTTCGGACTGAACAACTTAAACAAAAACAAAAACAATGGTACAGAACTTGTTTTGAAATTGATCTTATCTGAGTAATGCTCACTTCTTGACATGAACGAGACTAACATCATCGATGACAGGTCCACACATGTGACCAAAGTCGTGTACCTTTGTGTGATAGAATGGGTTATAAAAAGCTATTGTTGTCCTAGTTTTATCTGCTTGGAACTTGAGGCTTGCTGTCTTGTACCATCCCTTTCCACTTGATACAAATGAAACTTGTGTACTAGCCTTGCCAGCGAATGCTTGAACTGTCATTGTTCCGTGGCAGTCATTGTTTGCATCGCCAATGATGAAAGTCAGGTTGTAGAATTGTTTAGGGACTGTCCTTACTGTCTGTGCAATGCCTGTTTCCCTTCCTCCTATTAATTCAACAGCTGCATTTCCTGAAGGTACTAAGAAATGCTTCGAGTCGATGTATTTTGCTGGTTTTGCAAACTGAACCATCCATCCTGGAATTGGTGAGTACTTGTCTTGTTTCAGAGGTAGGACAAGCACCCCTGTCGAGAAGTTCTTGAATACGTGCGGACCAGCTTCAAATCCACCATTTTTCACCAAGTTACCTGCATACATGACCAGGAAAAAGGTATTGCATTGGTTCAGGATCAGATTTTTTAAGTTAGTAACTATGCACCATTCTGCTGAAAGAATTTTCGCAATGTATCAAGGGCGTTTGCACAATCGCCTTTTTTGAGGCAACTTATCTGCCTTTTAAGGTAGGGGTAAGGTCTCCATATACTTTACTCTCCCCAGATCTCACTCGTGGGATTACGCTAGATGTGTTGTTGTTGCTTCTTTTGAAGCCACTGTTTAAACTGTCCCCATTTAGCATACTGGGCTGAATTTGTCTGCTGTAAGGTAAATTCATTCAACTACGTTTGAAGGCGAAATTTAGTCTCAGAAAAGGCCAACAGCAATAAACCTTAGCCCTACCTTGAGAAGGTAGAGAAGCTATTTTCGATAAACTTTCAGCACAAAACGGATGAAAAATACGATAGTAGCAATAAGCAGGAACAACAACAAGAAAATACAACAATATCGAGGCTAAAGAATCAACTGATAGAAATAGAAATCTAAGAATACGAATATACAAGATTAACACTCTGGGAATGGAAAAGTAGAACTCTCAACTACCTACTATCCTTCTATCATAATCCTCAACCTCCACACTCATATCCTCGGTGAGGTGAAGTTGTGTCATTTCCTGCCTAATCACCTCACGTCGTACTACTTAGTCCTACTTCTACCCCTCCTCAAACCTCTACGGACAACCTCTCACACCTCGAGGACCACTCTCCAGAAAGGCTAAACGATACAAATTATCAATGTATTGTAGAGTTACCTTTAGTATATGTAGCCATAGGCAATTCCTTGATTGCAATATGGTCTAGAAGTGGTCCACAAGCTGGATCTTCTTGCATACCAGGATTGTGAAATTTGACCTCAACATAATTAGATGTTGTTTTGAAAGCCCAAGCATAAGTGTCACCACCATCAGCACTGTACAATGTCTGAATAGGAAGATCACTAGACATGTCTCCCGCGGAGACGGTAAGGACCTCATCTTGAGCACAAGTCCTAGTGGCTCCAAATGTGAGTGAATATATAGTGTTTGGCTTCACCTCTACATACTGAGAGATGGAAGCCTCATTCCCAAGTCGGATCGCGTGGGCCCCACGAGGGATCGGAAAGTAAAACCCTCCTTCCTGGGGCCCACCTGATACCCACTCCACTACACCACTGATTTCCCATTCAGGCAATGAGTATTTGCCAATGATCACTGTTTTCTTTAGTTCTGATGCCTTTGGCCCTTCTTCGAAATCGCCATTTTCCAGTAGATCTGTCATTATCACATCACAACTTATACTACATTTGAAATAACATTCAAACAAATCTGATTATTTTGCCAATCAAATCAATGCATACAAACACAAAAATGCTCAAATTATCTTATTAAGCTTAAAGTCCAAAACTTTGCTACTCCAAAGTTCAAAGTATAGTCTACGCTCCAGAACTTTCACTCACACAGTTCAAAAAAACAAAAATGTAGCATCCAGGTTTTGAACTCCAAACTTCAAAGTAAATTTTGAACTCCGTAAACTACACAGGATTCCAAACCTATATATAACTACAAGTTTTTTTTTTCTATATACAGTGTAATTTTTTGCCGAAGAGTTTCCAGATCCATAAAAACTTAAGCACTACTTATCTTTATAGAAACTAAAAGAAGTAGAACTTACCATCAAGATATGGAACAATTGGAACAGTTGCAGCTGAAGCTAAGCTGATGTACAAGGTGAAAATGAGTAGAGAGAAAATGGAAGAAGCCATTTTAGTGCAAAAAATCTTGATGAAAAGAAAGAAATTTAAATTAGATTTGAAGAGAAAAAAAAAAGCAGGAATGTGTCCTATTTAAAGAATAAAATAGTATAAAATTTACTACCTTCGTTTCAATTTAATTGTCTTACTTTTTTTTTTCGAACATCTCAAAAAAAATTAGTCTCTTACTATATTTAGTAAGTTTCCAAACTCCAACACTATAGGTGGCAAGTTTTAGATCACTAGATCTAAAGGATCAGAGGTGACTCGACAGTGTTAAAAAAATGTGTATCTTAAATTCTCAAATTTAAGGGACTTTATTTTTAATAATAATAGATTATAAGTAATTAATTTTTAACAAAATGAATACTAACTTTTCATGAAAATTGAAAGAAATATTAGAAGAAATTTGATATATTCGAACTATTATATCTCATGAAAAATAATTTAAAATAATAATGGTTATATCATCAATTGAAAATTAAAAGAAATTAATTATATAAAAGTTATTAACAATTTCACAAGGAAAATTTCATTTGATTTTTACTTTAAAACACTAATATATTTTAATTGTCTCTGTAAAGAACTACGTACATATTTTATTTTAAATTATAATTATTTTTTTTAATTTCGTGTCAAGTTAAAATCGGAGAAAGAGTAGTGAGGATAAGATTTAAAAAAAGAGATATTTATAGACAGTGCATGGTACCACTTAATATGCCATGAAATGTGTCAGGTTGTCTCATTTTTTACCCTTTATTTTATTGCAAAAACCTGACACTCATTTATTAATAATTGAGTTTATATTGTCTGTACTGGCAGTTTATTATTACTTTACTACTCTATTATTTTTAAGTTGAATTATTTCATTTCAAAAATTCAAAGTTAAAAAATAATAAATTAGAACATACTATATATTAACTTAAATCTCATCGACTTGTTGCATCTATGTTGGATCCTTAAAAAAAGCATTATTTTGAAGGATTTGACACGTACCCGACCCGATGAACATGGCTTATACTTAAATGATACACTGTCAGGTATAATGTAACTTCAATTCTTAAACAAATTTAATACAAGCCAAGAACATGGCTTACCTAAAGTCTTCATTGGTCACCATAATTTCCTCTGTTTCACTTGGAATTAGTTGACATTGTAGAATTCAGTAAAGTTTCCTTTTGTTTATTCTTGCACTTTTTTTTATCTGATAGTTTCGATTTTCACTTGGTACAGAGTTAAAAAAAAAGTAAAAAAGACTTTTAAATCTCGTGATTTTATAGGTAGAATGTACTAAAAAGTCTTTAATCGCTTGGTCTTAAATATGTCATGTGAAAGTTGAAATTAAAGAATTGTCTGAAAAAGAAAAAGAAACACTCTTTCGAAACAGACTGAAAAGGAAAATAAGACAAACAGATCTGCTATCTAGGTA